TTTTTTATTGATTGATTGGAAGTGGGGGGGTTTGCCTCCCCCCCCCGAACTCTCTCACACACACACACACACACACACACACACACACACACACACAAACACACACACAAACACACACACACAAACACACACACACACACACACACACACACACACACACACACACACACACACACACACACATCTGTGAGGATAAAGCCGGGTAAGCATGTTCTTAGGCCAGCAGTCGAACCCAGAGAAGAGAGAGAATAATGGCGAACAGAACAGACCAGACGATGATGAGCGTGGGGAACTTCTCCCTCTTCCCGAGCACAACTTTCCCGAAGTGGAGGAGATGTGCGAGTACCCACAAGGCGAACAGCAGCCTGTGCACCAGATTTGCCCATTTCTGGTTCTTGCGATTCACTTCTCTGGCTATGGCCGTCAGGCATGCGATCACTGTTACGGCGAGGATGACAATTGGCGGCGCAGAGAACCATGGCAGTTTAAGAGCGGAAGCAGCTGCGTCTGCTGCGGCGCCATCGCCGTATCCATACCCCGAAGGTCTGGTCGTCGGTCGCGTGTCTATGCCGGTTAACACCTTGAGCAGTCCCTGCACCACTGCGGCTAGATGCGAGCTAAGCCCGGAGATCATCCATAGCTGCTGATTGTGCCACGTGTCACTCACGCTGACCCCGCTCCATCGAGCTTCAAGAACACAGATACCGATCGTTGATGCCCCGAGCAGAACGTACATGGCTATGGCTTCCACGTCGACCGGATCGAGAATGAACTGGTCGGTGAACAAGCAGAAAGCTGGCAAGCAGCAGTAAACGAGAATGGGCATGGAGACGAGGGGATAGCTGACCATACCGATGTAAGCAATGCGCTGCAAGGGCTTCAGCCGACGAAACAAACCTTTCCACAAGGGGTTATGGCGGGAGAAGAACATGTCGAGAGAGCCCAAGGCATCAAATCGGATCTGATGCAGCCTATGGACCATGGTCACCTCTGGGCCCACCCTAATGGCCGGGTTGGTGGGTCGGGAATGACAGTAGACAGAACGCCAACCGCTGAGATGCAGCTCAAAGCCGGTGAGAAAGCTTTCCGCCGTGGAGCCGTACCTCCATCCCGCCTTCTTGCCCCACTCCGTTCCGTCCTCATACCCACAGGAGATACAAAAGATGACGTCACCAAGAACTTGTTGGGGGGGTATGTCGGGAATTGCACCCTCAGCGTCCAACGTGGTGATGACGAAGTTGGGGCAGATGCCAAATCTGCGACCATGCCACTTCGTTGGCACTTCCCCCTCATTGCGCAGGTCGCCGGGGATGACTGCAGTGATGATAGACCTCTTCTCCGGTCCGGTGCCGACGGTAGGAGCGCCGTATCGTCTCCAGCCAAAGCACCCGCACACGCCTCCTCCCCCTCCACAACAACAAGATCCACCAGAGCGTCCTTTGTCCGCTTTGGGAACGGGAGGAGGGTCCATGCCGTACAGCGCCTGCCGGCGGAACATACACCCTGTTCCAACGTAAAGGGGTCCTTGCACACCGTCCAGAGCCCTCATCGTCCCCTCGTAAAACAGCCTCCTCCCGCAACCGAACGGATCGAGCGAATCTGGCGGCTGACAAGAGAACTGCACAAAGCAGACCCGCCCACCCTTGCTGGGATCGAGCAGAAAGCAGACCCCCTCCCTGATGGCCAGCGAGTTGTTGATGACGTCACCGGCGTCCAGGACCAGAATGAAGGTGCCGTTCGACAGCAGGGCACTGGCCCTCGCTACGGCGTTGAGTGAGCCGGCCTTCCTGTGGTCCAGGAACTTGGGCCTCCTCTCCCTAGACACGTACACCAAGCGAGGGAGAGGATTGCCCAGGACGTCCTTGGTCTCGCCGTCCGGCTGCACGAATACCTGGATCATTCCCGCATGGTCCTTCGACTTGTTCCCCGGCCAAGGACTGCCATCTCTCATCGTCCATCCGTTGGCTGGCACGTCCTTAAACTTCGCCGCCATAGCATTCAGCCGCACTTTGAACTCGTCGTGCTCTGTCTTCATGAACCTCCGGTCCTTCACGAAGTCCGGATGCGTCTTCCCTGCCGTCCGGTCAACCCGTTGACCGAAATACACCTCGGGAGACCTAGGCTCGATGTCGAACTTCTTGCAGAATGGCACCCAGACGCGGGCGAAGCTCGCGGTCTCCGTGAGCACCTCGAAGGTCAGCAGAGAGGCGGAGTCGTCGCTCACGTAGCAGCTCAGCCTGTCCGCCGGGTAATTGCCTGCCAGCACCGAGAGAATGCTGTTCGCCAGCCGAAGAGGGCCGACATTGTTGTTGACGTCATCGTCCACCTCTGGCACGAAGACGAAGACGTCGACCGGCAGCAAGTTGTTCGGCTCGCCGGGCTTCTCGTAGCGAAGGGAGAGTCGTTCGGGGTAGGTCTCGCGAGTTATAGGAGACCACCTCGGAACCTGGTCCAGAATCCAGGACAATGCGAACCAGAACTCGCAGATGACGGACACTAACCACACCAGGTGCGCTTCATGGTTCTGATGTGCGATTCGGTACCTAAGGAACAATGCCAAGATGAGCACGCGGCAAGTCAGGACCAATCGGAATGGGTTCACGAGGGCGGAGGCCATATGCATCTTGCGAGCGAGAGGCCGGCGGGTGCCATCCAACATAGGGACGTCGTCGCTGATGTCTATGCGCAGCTTGCCGTCATCGTGGCCCCCCCCACCGTCTCCACCTCCTTTGCCCCCCGAAGCGGCGGGGGCTCGAGTCTCACCAGAGGAGGCGGAAGCCACCATCGCTGCATTCCAATGCACGCTGCCATAGCCGTACTCCCACAGGTCTGACTTGCTGGCAGTGCCAGCGTCGGAGGCAGACTGCGCACCCACTTGGACGCTCAGCCTGAGTGATTCGGGCTCAGTGGCCGCTAAGGGACTGCTGCTGTGCTTGTTGTTCTGCGGCTTGCGTGCATCGGCATTGGTCTGGGAGAGCAGAGGGACATTCATGCTTGACTCCGAGTCCATACTGCTGGATAACGCAGACCGTTGACGTTGACCTTGAGATCCCACGGCCATCCGACCTCGTTGACGTGGCGACTCGCCATCGCCGTGCCCATCTCCGTGCTGGTCTTTCTTCCTCCCTCCCTCCTCCGCGACGGACGTGGCCCCTTTCGCATCTTTCCTAACTCTTCTCGAGTCTGCCGCCGAGGTCTGCTGTCCGTCCTTCCCTTGCGAAGCTGAAGCCGCCTCCTTCTTCCTCCCGTCTGCAGTACTGGCACCTTGGACGCCATCGCCATCGCCGTCATCGCCATCGCCGTCTTCCGGGGAAGATGTGCCGTAGGTTGTCCCACAGCCAGGGCATTTGCCCCCCTCGTGACGGCAGATGAAGTCGAAACATCGTCGGCAGACTGGAAAGACGCAGTTATCGCATGCAATGAACGGCTCGCCTTTCTCGTTGACGTCAACTTTTTCGCTGCACAGCCCGCAGGTCAGCACTTTCCCCTCGTTTCCGTACACGTCATGACTCACGCTCCCCGGCGATTCCGCAACCGTCAGCAGAAGCTTCTTCCTCCTCTGGTTCCCGAACGCAATTACGTTCTCTATTCTCCTCCCTTCCCCCGACATCTTTCTCTCTCTCTCTCTCTCTCTCTCTCTCTCTCTCTCTCTCTCTCTCTCTCTCTCTCTCTCTCTCTCTCTCTCTCTCTCTCTCGCGTGAGTGAGTGAATGATTGTATATCAACGACGAGGTGAATTTATATGGCCAGCAGCTCAATTCCTGCACCTAAGAACGGGCGACACCGTCGTCACACTTTCCCTTCTCCACTCGTGGACAAAGAGCCACAACTGGGTGCCACCAAGTTCTTGGCCCTCTCTCAGACCACCCTAGCCTCGCAGCTACGGTGTACATGCTTCCCCGACCTCGCAGCTATGGTGTACATGCTTCCCCGGCCTCGCAGCTATGGTGTCCTAGATGCTTTTCCGGCTCCGCAGCCATGGTGTACACTGTACATTCTTTTCCGGCCTCTCAGCTATGGTGTACAACGTACGTTCTCCTCTTCTAAGTTTACTAGCGACCATGCCTGATAGCAATCTGCCTGTTGAGGCCAGAGACACACTCAGTCCGTAGAACGGCAGAAGGATATCCTTGCAGCGTGCATCAACGTCCGATGACCCGGTGATGTCACCGACTACGCGTTGCCCTGGCAATCGGTCCTCGTTACGACCATGGCCGAACCTCATGCGACCCTCTTGCTGTAAGGATGGGATGAACCCAACCCGAATGACAGTCAGGTTCGTGCCCGAAAACCCTTGGCTAGTGGGGATACGGCCTTAGCAAATCCCCGATTGCTCCGCAATCCTCGCCTTCAGGCTTTCCTTCCTCTTCCCCCCCAACGCGCCCCCCCCCCAACCTGCTCTGTCCTACTGAGCAGAGTGCCTGCTCCTCCTCACCTATCTTAGTCATGGCATTAGTTATGTCAATTGCCAATTTATAACCCCTACCAGTTTCCACGTTGTCCCTGATGGGCCTGGTCCTTGCTCACCCCTCTGTATTTGCTAAATTCCTTCCCCCCCCCCCCCAAGTATGCTGTTGTTGAAGTCTTCAAACACCACCACGTAAGGGCTTCCTTGAGTAATACAAGCCTTGGGCACTGGGCCCGTTAAAAAAAAAAAAAAAAAAAAAAGGGAGGCTGTGGGCTTACGCACAGTTGGAAAGAAATCCGGCGTTAAGTTCCGTGACTTGCCAAGAATTCCGGACAGATGCGTTGAACTATGGTCATTATTTTTTTAGTTAGTTTTTTGTTTCTTTTTCTCTCGTTTGGCGGTCAAACGCTCTGTTTCCCTTTTTCTTAATTCTTAATTTATTTTTTCCTTGATTATTTCCACCATTTCTTTATTGGTATGTAAACTAGGGTCATCATCATTGTTCTGCTATGTAACAGTTGTCGACAAATTGCCTTGGGAATATGAGCCTTGGGCACCGGGCCTCAAATTGAGGACCCCGGCCTCAAAGTGCTTTGGTAATATGAGCCTTGGCCCTTGGGCACTGGGCCCGTGTGTTTTGGAAAAAAAAAAAAACAAAAAAAAAAAACAGTTGCCGACAAATTTTCACCGTTTATTTATTGTTATTGGTGAAACCACAAGTACTTGCTAAAGTCGTGCAGCCACGACACGATTTTAGGAAATGAACGGGTCGCCACAGGAGCGGCCAAATTCGTCCGACTAGAAACGTTTCTAGTCTTTTTTTTTTTTCCACGGCTGATAGCTGGGGGCCAAGTACTGGCGATTCACAAAAGGCGGGGGGGAGGAATCAGCATTTCGATGAGGGAAGGCGACGGGGTGGAGAGACGTCCACCGGCAGTCAAATCGTACCGTTTCACGGACGCGTTCTCGTCATTTATGCCTGTCACGGCAGACTCACGGAGTCACGCTAGGAAGGACTTTTTCGAGTGAGCTCTGGACGTGATTACGGTCAGATGCATCCAGGTATTCTCGTAGTTGCAGTCAGATACATTTAGGAAAGTGCTAGTTAGATTGCCTATGGCCTCATCCCTGGCCACTGCCCAGGCACCTTGCTGATATTCTCTGTTTCGCTCCAATTCTTGAAGTAAGGGTAAGTTTCAAAGGATACAGCGCTCTCTCTGGAACTGCAATTACCCCATTTTTTAATTTTTAACGGATGTCCCGAAGCGCTCACAGACGCATCGTCGAACCGAACCAGCATCCATTGACCGCCGCCTTTTCTTTTTCGACTACAGAATGCGGGCGGAGGCCCCTGGTTGTTGTAGAGGCCGTATTCCGGACACTGCGGACAGACGGCGTCTCTCTCTCTCTCTCTACTGGCGGGACTGCGGACCGTAGCAATGTGAGATTGGTAGTAAATACTAAATACTAGTAATATGTTTAGTGCTGTTTTTTTCAGAGTCTGACATAGTTACCGGGCCTTGCTGGCCATAGACACTGCTGTTAGTTGATGCGGGCGGGGAAAGTAGAGGTGAGGCGCAGCTACTGGCAAAATGCTCGGTCTATAGTACTCTATAGTATTCTATACCTTAGCCGCCCCGCCCACCTGCAGGCCCACCCCCTACTCCCTGACCACCGCCTATTTAAGGCGGGGGGGAACACGTATCCCCCAGATTGTGAGATGTAGCTATGCTTGCAGGGATCCCCTGTATAGGCTTAGGAGAACGGACGGCCCCACCCTACTCCCTGACCACCGCCTATTAGGGCAGGGGGCAACATGTATGCCCCAGATTGTGAGAGGTAGCTATGGTTGCAGGGGTCCCCTGTATAGGCTTAGTAGTAGTAGGTAGATAGCCACAGGTGAACTTGAGAGAAGAATATAGCTTAGTAACCTTAGGTCAAAAAAAAAAAAAAATTTGAAATTGAGAAAAGAGTATGCTTAGTTTTGCAAAAAGAAATCATGTTTCTTTTTCTCTTTTTTTTTTCTTTTTTTTTTCCTTTTCTAAGCTAACAGGAATTTGTCTTTTTTCGAAAAGAAATGGTGTTTTTTTCCCTCTTTTTTTTTTTTTTTTTTTTTTTTTTTTCACTAGCACCCGGGGGGGAGGCTCCATCTATTGGTGGGTAGCGTCACCTGCTGGAAAGCGGGTCCAGCGTCCCTTTATACAGGGTGAAAGAGTCAAAGAGACTTGAGAAGGGTGCCTGCCAGCATTGATTGCCCTGGATTCCAGAGGATTGACTGAGCAGGACTTTATGAAAAAATTCTTGAGAAAATGTCTTCCTGCCTGCTCTACTTGTAGTAGCCATCCCACTTACTTGAATCTGCAGACTCGTAAGAATAATCTTTTGAGGAATAGTCTGCCTGTCTGCTCTACTTGTAGTAGCTATCCCACTGTTTTAACTCTGCAGCCCCCCAGGGTCCTGCATCCCACTGGGAGGCAAACTGTATAGAAACCAGTAATGAGGTCATTAATGAGCTTTTGTGTCTCTTCACCCTTCGAGAGAGGGCACCAAATAGGTAGTTAGGTGTTGATACTTGTTTAGGAGCTGTCTGCCCCAAACCCAGCTTGCTGACTATCACCACCGGCTGCATCAGTGGAAAAAGGCACGCATGATAGATAAGTGGGGTCCTCCCTAGGAGGCTCCAGGGAGGGGTTCCTCGCGTGGGCATCTTAGAACAAGAGACAAATGAGATAAGAGATATGGAGGAGGCGGGTGTCAGGTGGGTGAAGGAAGGGTAGAATATCGTTGTTCCATTCAGGACGGGATTTCTGTCAGTGACAGGGCATGGGGTGGGAAGGGGTCTGGGAAATCCGTGGAGGGGCATAATGGGAACGAGGCCTCTATATTAGTCCAATCTTTGAACTCCAGCCTGTAGTCTCTCATCTCTTCTAAGTCCCTTAACCCTTCCTTGATCCCCACTCCATACCACTTTTGCGATCCAACCTTCCCTTTCCCCCCCTACCCAGTCCTTGCAGAATTCCGTAATCCTTCTCCTGACATCCCCCGTCTGTTTAAAAAGGTGTAATTGTTATTTTGTACCTAGCCATCTGCGTGTGAGCTCTAGGTGTAATTGCTGCTGGATTTGTTCTATTATCTCTGCGCCCTCTACCCGTACCTTTTTCAAGGTGAGGGTGCATCTTTGCCACTAGAGTGCCCACATCACCGCCCTCCTACCTACTCTGTACATGTTCTCTGTAAAGGGCGTGGATGTGCCTGCCCGAGGCCAATGTCCAGCCATAATGGTTTGCCATGACTAGGACCAGAGAATATCCGGTTCCATCTTTCGCCAGATACGGTCCCACCACCTCCATGTGAATTGGGCAATCGGACACTGCATGAAAATATGTTCAATGGTTTCTGCCTTCTTGTGGGAGGGGAAGAGGCTCTGGCATCGCTGGCACCATGGGAGCAACAAGCCTCTTTGTTCGAGGTTTGTTCGGTTAATTAACCGAACGTTAGTTGGCAGATAGCGGTGAGCTATCTGCAGCGAGGTAATTTTCATTGGCTTGTGCTTTTGTTCTTTGAACCATTGAATCGGTGTAAGGAGAGAACGGTCAATATTAAGATGTCTGGCCCATCGTTCATTAATTATATCTCTCAGATGCCGTTTGGGTCGAAGCATTTTGTAAGCTGATTTGACCGTTAGGAGGTGTAGGCTTATATGACTTGCTCCGGGGGCGCCCCTCTTTCGGGGGGCCTGCCACGTCCATTCCACCGGGTCCAGGGCCAAGTCCTGGATTGGTTTGTCTGGCTGGAAGGCCACCCCTCTGTCCCTTTTCTTCAATAACTCTCGTTCGGTTAACCGATGTTCTGTTTTTCCATTCAAAGGGTGCCTTACTTGCTTGGAAAGTGTTTATTTTTGTGGTGGTGTAGTATTCAATCAGGACCATTTGGGGGGAAACCATGTGGATCAAACCAATCTGCCACTGACTACTTATAATCGACAACACATCCAAGTGAATACAAGTCATGCAACTCCATCCAACTTTGTTGCGTTCAAGCCACTCATTCAAGGTCAAGAGAACCTTTTTCATGTCATTCTTCAATCGCCGACCAACTCCGAATTCTCCTATCAGGGCGCTACTCCATTCCAGACCAGCCTCATAGCCGCCTTCAATCTCCGACGTCGGCCTTCTCTTTCTACAGCTATCATCACTCACCCGCCTGTTCCACCATTCCCTGCAAGACGACGTTGTCACTTGTGTGACGATGGAGGGACATGGACGGTGTTTGGAGGTGTGCGGGTCTCCGGCCCACTTTCCTGACTCACTCATGTGAGATCTGTCAGCATCAGCGACTTGGATTTTTCCTATTTTATTTGGAACAGACCTGTGTAGCATTATGCGTACAACAAACTTACTGGTTTAACACTGCACCGACGACATTGGCCTACTGCTGCAGTTATCATCGGTCTACGTCAACTCAAACACTGGGACCACAGTGGGACTTTTTTCTTGACTTCAGATTGCTGATCCCGACCATCCC